CGGGCTTCTGCCGCTGCCCGGCCAAGGGAGCGCGGCTGCCTCTGCCGAGCTGCTGCCTTCAGGGTCTTTTAAAATCGGTCTTCAGCAAGTGAAATCAAGCAGAGCTGCTTTGTTCAGGAAGTTACCGTAAAACGGTTCCACTTACTGATTTGATTTGCATTAACTTAAAACGACTTCTCCCTGTTGCTTGATTTACAGACATAAACTTTGAGAGCATCCTTTTTTCTCCCCCCCTCCCCCCTTTTTTTTTTTCTTCCCAGAAAGCCTCCAGCTTTGGGGGGAGGTAGTTGTTAGCGGTCCGGACTGGTATCTGTTAAACTAAACATTTTACGTAGCTACGTGAGAGATGAGGCCGTGTAGACTCGCGGGCAGGCAGTGAAATGGCTCAGCCTGGGGCTGTCAGTCGGTTCTGGTATCGGCTGGAAGGGGAAGCACGCACGGGCGAAGGGTCGGACGCTGCTCTGAGCGGCTTTGCTTCTCGGCTCCGAAATCCCAGTGCCGCTGTTGGCACGCCTGGGGTTTCGTGGAGTCTGTTTAACTTTTGGCGTGGGTTCTCTATCACCTGTGCGGGTAACTGCCAGTTGAAACGCGAACTGTGTGTTCTTTCCAGGGCAAAGAGAGGGGGTGTAGGATTCTCAGGTGATAGTTAAATGCTTTACAGGTGCAACTGTCTGAGGTTGTGCTACTGTAGTTATTTCTGTAATAATGAGATTCAGGGTTAAATCTAGCTAGGTCTGGTGTGTTTGGAGGAGATGGGAGGGAGTTATATTTTCCTTTCTTTTATCGTAATTGTGACCCATGTCTCTTCTCTCCCCATCTCCTACAAACACACCAGGCTTCAGTGACCGAAGCGAGCAGATTGTTTCACGTGGGGTAGCGTCAGCATTTGAAGCTGGTAAGTGCTAGTTCCCACACACCTCTTTGTTCAGCCAGACTCCTGCTCTCCGTGCAACGCGTGCCGCGCTGGTGCGGGGGGCGAGTGTCGGTGGCGGGGCCCGCCC